CAGGGCTGCAACCATGCATATTGGTTAAGTAGACCAAAAAACCTAATATTTTCGTGATTGGTAGAAGTGTTCCATATTTTCTAAATGACCTTGAGAAATGTGGCTTATGTAAGGGGTATTCTTTCAGTATTTCAAAATAAGGGACAGCTGTGATCAGCTAGTGTTTAAATTACATTACCCACTTGGACACCGATTTTGAAATATGTGAACTTAGAATGTTTAATTTTAGCATTAATTTTGTTGGTTGATTATTAAAAGTCAGGGTTTTTTAAAACGTAATTCCCAAGCATGTAGTTACCAGTGTTTAATGGTTTGCTTTGGGCGGCAGTTACTTCACATTACATTTCCTCTTGATATTTGGGTGTCTTAAAGTATCAAAAATTCCTTTTGCTGAATTTAACCCCTCCAACACATTTTCTCTCTACTCGTGTAGCACTTTCCTGGATCCTGAGACACGCAGAGCTATGGGAGAACAAGCAGTGGCTCTTGCAAAAGCTGTAAAATACTCATCTGCTGGAACAGTGGAATTCCTTATAGACTCAAAAAAGAATTTCTTCTTCTTGGAAATGAACACTAGACTTCAGGTACTGGGGGAGTGAGAAGGAGGGGAGGTACACTATTTTTAGAATATGGGTGGATGAAAAATTGTATTTTTATGCTAAAAACCTTTCAAGTTTCTTCAAAACCATAGCAGAGCAACACTAAGATAACATTTTATTCCCAGTGCAGATTTCCTCCCTTGAGTTTGTGGTTGTGATATGTTGTGCTGGACAGGAGTAATTTTGCGTTAGACCTTGAACAGAGAAGTTTACTTGATCTGGTGAATGTGCACTCGTGCTTGCCAATCATCATACTGTTTATAGGGAAACAAGGCATGTAGTTTGACCTTGGCACCCCGGAAAACAAGGGATATATTTCAGCTAAAATCTTAAAACTCTTTGAACACGTAAAATGTGGACCGGAGTGGTGTTGCAGCAGAAATGTATGTAAGAAGTTACAGTGACCGAAGTGATGATTGGGGATATCATACATTAGCAAATTTACCCATGAAAATAATTTCCGTTGCCTCCAAATATCTGCAGCCTGCATAATGTAGAAACAACATGGCAGCACAGAACTCTACATTGCTTGTGGAAAACATTCAAAATACAGTGGTACCTCGGGTTACAGATGCTTCACGTTACGCGATTTCAGGTTGCGCACCACGCTGAACCCAGAAGTACCAGAACAGGTTGCTTACGGGTTTTGGTGCTCGCGCATGTGCAGAAGTGCTGAATTGCGACCCGCAACCCACGTCTGCACAGATGCGGCGCTGCGGGTTGCGAACGTGCCTCCCGCACGGATCACGTTTGAAACCTGAGGTTCCGCTGTAATTCTTACAACAAGATAGTATCAGCTCTTGTGATAAGAGAGCAGAATGCAAGACTGGGCACATGGATGCAGATGCTGGCTCACAGTTGCTCATTCATTCCTTTGTTCCAGGCAGAGTATGGCTCCTGTCGAAGACCTTTTTGTGTTGTGCCTTTGGAATTTCTCATCTTTCCCCCCGCCCCACCCACTGCAGCTAAATGGTCTTAACATTTTGTGATCATGAAAGCAGTGTAATCAAGGTAGCAAATGAGCAATGGAGAGACGCATAGAATAAAATATTGTCCTCTGAAGAGTGCCATGAGCTGAGCTGCCATTAAATAAAAAACTTTAAGATAGTCTAAAGTAGGTTTTAGAAAGGAGCCTCTAAATGCGGTCAAATACAGCCTTTCAAAACTCAGTTTGGTGGATGCAGATATTTCCAGGTATAGTGCAAAAGCAGCAAATGAACGAGCTGTCTAGCAATCTTGAGCTCCCCAGAGCTGCTGCTCCCCAACAGCAGCGTGTCATTTAAAAATTGACTGTAAACACAAACACATCTGCAGATTCTCCTGGCTCTAGAGTTAAATTTTGGGGGGGAAAAAGCTTTATGAGAATTACTAAGTTTGGCTCTTAATTAAAAAGGGAGAAAAGCTTAGATGGCTAGTTACAAGTCTGCTAATAGGCATCAAAGTTTGAGGGTTGGGGAAAAGTGACAGATCAATTGGGAAAACTGTAGATGAGGCCAATAAAATTACTACTCACCAGCTTCAAACTGAAACACTAATTAGAGACAATACACAGCCAAGATAGAGGAATTAGAGAAATGCACCTAACAAACATTTTAATTAAAGCTTAGTGCATTTCCGATAAAGTTGGAAAGAACAGATCTGACTGAATAGTGTTTAAACTGGCTTTCTAAAGTTTCCAACGACAGGGTTTCTCCATCTGGAAAGTTTTTGCAGCACCCTCGGTGATTGCGAAAAAAAAACAAATTGTAAGCAAGACACTGAGCTGAATATATCAGAGGACTCTGGTTGCATTTGCACAATGTGCTAAGCCAAACATTGGCTTATCAAGACCTGAAGAGGAGCTCTCGGACACTTTGCTCTTCCCTGATCTGTTTTGCTGCTGCTCTGCACTGAGCTCTGTATGTAAGACAGGGACACTGCAGTACAGTGGTACCTTGGGTTACATACGCTTCAAGTTACATACGCTTCAGGTTACAGACTCCGCTAACCCAGAAATATTACCTCGGGTTAAGAACTTTTCTTCAGGATGAGAACAGAAATGGTGCTCCGGCGGTGCGGCAGCAGCAGGAGGCCCCATTAGCTAAAGTGGTGCTTCAGCTTAAGAACAGTTTCAGGTTAAGAACGGACTTCTGGAACGAATTAAGTACTTAACCTGAGGTACCACTGTACAGGACTTTGAGCAGTGGGATTGGTGGGGGCAGAAGGATCACAGTTGAACGTGAACACTATCATCATGAAGTAAATGAAGTAATTTATAGCTTTACATGCTCTGAAGAAATGGTTGAAGAGAGTGGTCTTGAATCTCTTGCTTGCATTTCTCTGCCTACCAGGGAGACTTGTTCCACACTTTTGCATTCAATCATACAGTAAATAAAATGTAGAATAGGTCAGCTGTAGAAATAATCATGCTGAATGCAGGAAGAACTTGTTGAACTTCAACTCCAGCATAAATATCACAATAGAGCCAAGCACAATTTCATTCTTTGCGTTGCAAGTTTGTGTGTCCTATGTACACCATTGTATTCAACCTGATTCCCCACTATTATAAATTTTCAAATACCGTATTTCAGATCTTTTTCTGAATGCATATGCACAGAGCCAACATCATTTAACCAATCTTTCTAAAACTTTCTCTGTTCCTATAAGGATTGAAGGTACAGAGTGAGATGCTGTCTCTGGCTTCTTGGGGCTTAAATGGCTAGCCAAAGGGATTGAGATACAGTGGTACCTCGGGTTAAGTACCTAATTTGTTCCGGAGGTCCATTCTTAACCTGAAACTGTTCTTAACCTGAAGCACCATTTTAGCTAATGGGGCCTCCTGCTGCCGCCGCGCCGCCGGAGAACAATTTCTGTTCTCATCCTGAAGCAAAGTTCTTAACCTGAGGTAATATTTCTGGATTAGCGGAGTCTGTAATCTGAAGCGTATGTAACCTGAAGCATATGTAACCTGAGGTACCACTGTAGAGCCTAACTAGCTGATTAGAATGCTGTGGTATTTTCCTACCAAAAAATCACAGTAACGTGCTCTTATGGCATTAGCTTCCACATTCTGACTGTTTTAGGGGACAGAAAATAAAATAACCCAGTTGGGAAACACAAGAGAGTGCTATGGTGGCTGTGTTATACCAGGCTGTGTGTTTGTGTTTCTGGCTCCACCTTCAAATCACAAATAGCCAAGGAAGGAAGGAAAGAGGAGGAGAATGGAGAATGGAAAGAAGGATGTCGAAGTTATACACACAGCCTGAAGTCCAAACATTGTTACTCAGCCAGACAGCCACTTAGTGGGGGGATATGGAAAAAAGTGATGAAACTGAAATAAAGGAAAATGTGCCAGAAATAAATGGCAGAAAAGGCAACGTAGAATTGTTAATGCTGCCTGCTGCTGGTTAAATTAAAGGGAAATCTCAAACTCTGGACCATCTTCAACATTATTATTATTTATTAGTTGCTTTGCTCATGGAAATGACTTCAAGCAACTTACAGACACAATAGAAATACTAAAACCAGTTAAAATAAATATAGTCAGCAAAGACCTAACACCTCCCCCCCATCAATACAAATAAAAGATAGGTCCTGCACATTCTGCTCCACTAAGAGTCAACAAGTACTTGAAAACCCTTCAAATTAATGGTCAGAAGCCCAGATAAAAAGAAAGTATTTGCCTGATGCATGAAAAAAAGGCTGCACCCTCCTAGCAAATGGGAAACCACCACTAAAAAAGCCTGTTCTCATGTACCCACCCTCTGAATCTTCCATGAAGGAGGCACTTGGAGAAGGGCCTCAGATGATGATTACAGGGTCTGGGCTGGTTCATGTGGGGAGAGGTGGTCCTTGAGCTCTTTCTCAAGGTCTTGAACTGCATTAGGCTTTATAGGTCAAAACCTGCACTTTGAACTGAGCTCAGACACTGACTGGTGGCCAGTGCAGTCATGCCAGAAGTGTTGTTATATGTTTGGGCTGTCCTGTCCTGGTCATCAGTCTGGCTGCTAAATTCCGTAACAGCTGCAATTTCTGTACCAGCTTCAAAGGTTGTCCTATGTATTGCACATTGCAGTAATCCAACCCAGAGGTTATCAGAACATAGACAACAGAAGCTAGACACAGATGGAGTGCACCTGAGCCATCAGTTGAAGCTGATAGAAAGCATTTGAAGCAAACCGAGGTCACTTGAGCTTCAAGCAACAGTATTAGATCTAGCAGTACCACCAAGCTACACACCTTCTCTTTCAGAGGGCGTGTAACCTGATCCAGTGCCAGCCACATCCCATCAATCTGGTCTAGAGAACCACCCACTAACTGTTCATTAGTCTTGTCTGCATTAAGGTTCAGATTACTGGTTCTCATCAAGCACCCATTACCAAGACAAAACATTGCTCTAGCCCAGGCATCCCCAAACTCGGCCCTCCAGATGTTTTGGGACTACAACTCCCATCATCCCTAGCTAACAGGTCCAGTTGGTCAGGGATGGTGGGAGTTGTAGTCCCAAAACATCTGGAGGGCCAAGTTTGGGGATGCCTGCTCTAGCCCATCCGGTTTAGATGTAAATGAGAAGTGGAGCATGTGTTTCATCAGAATACTGTTGACAACCCCATTCAGTGGTTTCATGCAGATGTTGAACAGCATGGGGGATGAAATCGTATCCTGTGGAATCCCACATTGAAGGCTCTACATGGCCAAACCACATTTCTCAAGTACCACTCTCTGAAAAAACCACCCAAGTATGAGTGGTACCACCACAGCACTATGCCATCCAACCCCAACTTAGACAGTTGCTCTAGAACAATACCATGGTCAATATTATCAGAAACTGCTGAGAAAAAATAGCAGTGATGCACTCCCTCTGTGTCTTGCCCAACAGAGGTAATCATAAACCTCAACCAAAGCCGTTTTTGTGCCCAAACTATGCCTAACTCCAGATTGAAAAGGATCTTGAAAATTGCCCACTCCTCTTATATGATATATATTTAGATTGCATGCAATTTTTTGTCATTTACTAAAGAAGGAGGGTCATACTGGTATTGCATGGAGAACACGTTTTGAGAACACTTGATATGTGCAAAGTCAGGAGTTCCATTTTTCATTTTCTGTTAAAAGTCTATGTGTCTTTACTATGTAAATGCGAAACCTAGCTGAAGTAGATTGGAGTTCAGTACTTTTCTCCAGTAAAGGTGTTCTGTCAGTATTACAATAAAAACCGAACACATCAATAGGAACTAGTTGGCAAAGAACCTGAAGTTTGAAAGGCTTGTCTGGATAATAGAGTTTTTAGATTATGCCGACAAAATAGCAGGGGTGGTTCTTCCTAAACATCTGTTAGCATGGAGTTCCACAGAACAGTACCTGCAACGTTAAAGGCTCAGTCTCTAGTAACGACCAGCTTAATCACAGGGGCATGTGGGACCATAGCTGTCAGCTTACAGATTTGAAAATAAGGGACCAGCAGCCTTGAAAATAAGGGACCAGCAGCCAAAATAAGGGACCTGCAGCCTCACCTGTTCCAGGCACTCCAGTCTTCCTGTCCTCCTGCAGTCTGGTCAAACTCATGCTTGTAGCTTCGAGAACACTGTCCAACCAACTTTGTAACCAGAGGTTCAACTGAATAGAATCTGAATCACATGCACCACAAGGCCTATGCAGCCTCAACTTACGATGGCTCCCCGGCCTGGCTTTGCACTGCAAAGTTTGCAGCAGCACGTGCAACAAAATGGCGTCCAGCATTCAAAAACCCCCTCAGCTTGCATTAACTAGCCACACACAAGGCATGCAAGGTCCACCCTCCAGTCGTTCTTAGACTTCTTATTGGGTGAGCAACACAGCCAAGCAACACAGTTGGAGCCTCCCTCCTCCCTGGCCGGCAGGGAGGGAGGGAGAGGAGCTGCTTCCTTTGAAATTTAAGGGACATCATTTAAGGGACATTTAAGGGACATCTATCAATAAGGGACAGCAGCGGGGCATGGCGCTGGAATAAGGGACTGTCCCTTCAAATAAGGGACACGACAGCTATGTGTGGGACCACCAGAGGTGCCCAACAGAAGACCCAGTACGTGTGTGTGTGTGGGGGTACTAAATGGTATGCAGTACCAGCACCTCTAGTTTTTTGTTGTTTAAAAGTGTGGCAATTACTGTAACAACTTCATGGTGAGTAACAGCACCTTTTTTTCTAGAAATTAGGTACTGAGATGACCTCAGCAATCGAGGTAGAGCATCTAACTGCAATTTGCCCCTTTCCACTAGAGTTTCTCGTTGGATTAATGCTATCTATGTTTTAGGTATGCTTTATCTCCATAATGGACAGAGTTTCCTTGAGCAGGCCTCACATCAGTCACACTTTCAGATATTTTTGAGTGTCTTCTAAGTAGCTGTGGTTTTCTGACAGTTAGTCTGTCTTAAAGGACTCCAAACTACTTCCAACATCCCGTTGAATATAGCAGTACCTTCTCAACTAACTGCTTCTCTTTTGATGTTGCTGCTGTTGCCCAATGACTGCTAATCTGCCAAGGCTACTAACTTTTTCTAAGCCAGCATCCTTCTGACGGGGCCTATCATTTCTGCGTAGACTTGTTTTTCAAGTAGAGATGTAAAAGAAAAACACATAAAATAAATATATAAATTTGATTACATTATTGTAGAACAACAAGAGTGCTTAAATAGTTTCAGCAAAATGAATATGCCCAACTTTTTCCCATTCCCTGTCCCCTTCTCTCTCGTGCCTCCCCCAGCTTTGTACAAAGGAAGTATATTGACGCAGTAGACAATAATGTTTATAGAGACAAAGATGCCTTTTGAAGAATTGATTAAATAAATATTTGTAAGTGTTTTGAGAATTAACTACACACATACTTTGCTTTCCGGAGAAGTTCCATCCTAGTTTGATCATTAACAATGAAACTTTACAATGGGTCTGTTTCATTTCACGTTGGGATGATGATTCAAGGGAAAAGGAAGATAAAATTAAACAGTTAAAATGCCTTTACAAAGAATTCAGTTATTTTCCAAAACATGGTTTTGAGGATGTAGTTGTCTCAAAGACACTTTTTAAAAAAACCTGAGAAAATAAACTATATCCGACCCAAAATGTTGATAATTTGTGAAGTTTTAATAGAACATGAATGGCGTCAGTTGAACACTATCGGCAGGGAAGGTACGGAATTATTTTGGGAGTCTCTTCAAGTACCATTATGTTTGACATACCTGAGGAGTATCATGTGTTTGCCAAAAGTTTTAAGAATCCCAGTGGTAGCTTCCTAAGCTGCACATTCAAATTCCCGTTTCAGTCCAACATCTCTTCTTTTTTTAAAAAAATATAAGGTACTTATTTCAGTGATGTCATTAAAGTTGTCAGGCTGTCTTAAAATATGGTGCTGTAAACAAACTCAAAATGCACAGAGGACTAATTATGGGTGCCATCTGTTTATTTTACTATCTTTTTTTTTTTTTTTGCAAGACCCACTGCAATATTACAATAGACAAAATGTTCTCCTTCAATTAATGTACTTGAAGGGGAAATACCTAGTTTGTTCAGTGACCTTTTCCTGTGTCACAAAATACATGTGGTATGACATCTCTGGATAGAGAAACACTTGTAAAATAGGGTGTCTTAAAGATACATGACTTGAGCTACAAAAAAGCATTTTACACTAAAAATGGCAGATCAGTTCATCCGTCTCTCTCTCTCTCTCTCTCTCTCTCTCTCAAACCAGTGTTGCAAGTGCACTTATTAATTTTATAGAATTTGGCTACCAAGTTACTTAACTTGCTCCCTTTGCATGTGGCTATTTTATAATTATTCCATGCCGATTAAGTTACATTTGGTAAGTTAAATACACATGTACGTAAATCCGTCTTAACAACAAGAGAGACTTGTGTACTCGCTCTCCTGCTTGGTTTCACTGTGAATGAGGGGTATTCCCATGACAGCATCATCCTGAGCCGTTAGCAGCTATTTGCTGAGAGCACACAGTGATTCTACTGGTCCAGCTCAGCTATTGTGTATGCTAAGCACTACACAGATAAGTCTGGAGGGGAAAAAAAAACCTGAAGGATCCATCTGCTCATTTCTGCTACACTGCACTGATGTAAGATTACGCTAATCTGGTTGCTTGTCAGGACAGGTTAGTGAAAGCAGGCGTGTGGGTGAGACTTAGGCTAGTCTGGTTCTATGGAAGATTGTAGGCTGCTCCTGTACATGCCATGTTAAGTGTAGCAGAATGGGTTGATTATCAGCCAGCTACTTTGAGCTTTCAGTCAAAATACTTTGTGTGTTTCTAGATTATTATTTTTAAAAAAGAGACCAACTTCGAAAGTCCCATCTCTAAATGCTTCAAAAACAACTTCAGTCTTCATCATTAAATATCAAGGTGTTGTTTTTTTAAAAAAATCTATATATGAAAATTTCCCCCGTTGCCTGCAATTTTGTTTTGCTTTGCTTAGCTGTATTGCTCCTGTCTGATTTCTGCAATACATCTTGAATGCAGGACTTGCTCTCCTGAGTAGCTATATGACAAGAAGAATGGCCGTTATTGTAAATTACCCCCTTTTGAGTTTTCAGTATTTTTTGTTTTATTGGGTGGTGGGGAGAATTTAGTTGTTTTGTTATGTACTGACTGACAGTTCTTGACCTTGCAGGTTGAACATCCCATCACAGAATGCATTACCGGTCTGGACCTAGTCCAAGAAATGATCCGTGTTGCCAAGGGTTACCCTCTGAGGCACAAACAGGCTGATATTCCTATCAACGGCTGGGCGGTTGAATGTCGAGTATATGCTGAGGTAAAATAACTGTTAACGTCTGGGAGGGTGAACGGCTGTGTAAGAAGCTGTTAGTGCCAGGTGTAGCAAACCACCCAAGACTGTGTCTTTCAGCTTGATCCATTTCATGTGACGTAATTGATTTAAGGTTTTTGGGTAGTGTTTCTTTTTTCTTTTTTACTTTCTTTATGCAAAGATTGGGGGCGGGGGCGGGAATTATATACCACATTTGGAAGAAGAGTATTTTGCAGTCATGCCATGTTTTAGCAGTTTCATACAATATTTCAACACAAGATATTTCAACATGAGCTTTCTTATGAACTCGTGCTAGCTTTGCTATTTTTCAAATGGATCCTCTGGAAAGGTCAAGTGGCTGCCCCACATGTTCAGTATGACTAGATAGTATAGTGGCTGCCAATTACTTTTAAAAAAAACAAAAACCACACACAAAAACAATCCTCTTTATTTAGAACTAACCAACCAAACTTTTGCACACCGATCTGCTGAGATTTGAAACCAAGACTTTGCCTGAAATATTCTCAACTTTTGCTTCCTAATATGAATGTGAATGCTTTGGGCAGTTATCTTCAGTTTCTATAATGTGTGTGTGTTTTCATTCATTTCTTTACAGCCTTTCCCTTGTTTGAACAGTGTTGTATGTCTCTCCCTGGCATTTAGGGGTGGGGGTGGTTGATTTTTTCCCCTTAACGTTCACTACACATTACCTTGTGTAAATCCCAAAGTACAACT